TTGGTGACATTCAGGAAACTCATCGGCAGATTACAGGGGAGGTGGCAGCTGGAAATTACACTTCCTTTTGCTCTTCACCGGCATGGGAACAGGACTGCCAATAGGGTGGGCATGGCAGTAACTACCTGAGGCTACAATCAGCAGCCACTGTCTGGACAGTTGTCACAACAAGTTTTATGGCAGTAAGTGCAATGAGTTGGTTGGGCAGCACTTTACTGGGGTAGCACTCTTCAGAGGAGACTGGACTGTAATTTTTGTAAATGGAGACTTGAAACCAAAAGCTATATGTAGATGCAGTAAGCACTGTTCACACAATGTAACAAGCACATACCTCACACCAATTATTAAATATGATTGCATTAATCCCTATCTAATGGTTTCCTTATAACAAACTATTAAGATACTACAATCAGATTAAAACATAAGATCAGGTTACTACTTAATTAAATCTGATTTTATTTGTAATAGTATAAATAATACCTGCATCTTGATAAGAAAATTTATATTTTCTATTTTTCTCTGCAGTCATATCCTTATTTTTAATGCCTTTTGTTTTGTAAACAACAGACTAGTGTGAGATGTTGTCTCTTTCAGCAATTGAAGTTATTTCAGACTTCTGTAATTACCCTTTAGTATGCACTAGATTTTTATAGAAGGGAGATGTAGTTTGTAATTATCTTTTTTTCCTAAAAAAAGGAAAACCAAAAGCAAGCACAAGGAATGTTTCTGGTTTGCAGAATTAGACAATGTTACTTTGTGCTACTCCATAAGCTTCTGTATGACATGGACCAGGCACAGGCACTGCTCATTCCATTAAATTGCCTGGTTTCACAGTTTGCTGTCCCCACTAGCCCATATGTTTGAAATGGCACAGTTACATCTTTCCATTACTGCATGGCTTTGAAATGACATTGCTGAGTCATATCAGAAAATCTTATTTTGTGGTTGCAAGGCGCTCTGGAATGTGAAAAGCTATGCACTTCTGTGACTGCTGCCTTTGTGTTATAGTGGCAATTCCAATAATATCTTTTTAACAGAAATACTTTCTGTATTACTACTAAGAACTTAGTAGGCAGATTGCAGATCATTAAGTTTTTAAGTAGGGCAAAAAAAATACAAGTTCTACAGCAACACAGCTTGGAATAAAGCTGACTGGTAAACAACAACCTCATTTCCTCAGTAAGATCAGAGTGACAGTGAGGATTTTCTAGCCTCATCACTTTCTCCTTAGGCTGCCAAAAATGCCCCCATGGTATTCCTTAGGAGGATTACCTTTTTAAGCAGACCAAGAACAAGAAACTGTGGGCTTCATGTGGAAAGGTAGTGGAAAAATTAGTGCAAGACCTAAAGTTAAACACATTGCAAATGCAAAGGAAGGTTTTCATAATGTTTAAGTTGCAGAGGCTTTTTAATGTTTTCTGTTAGAAAACATCTCTATTGTGATGACACAGAGGTGTTGGAACCTTATGGAGACCTTGGGCTGTATGTTAAAAAATGTAACGGTAGTCATCATCTAGGCTTAAGCTAGGCAGATGAAACATCCAATGTAGGACAAATTTACAGCTCTATCCTATATAAAATCTTCTAAAAAGTAAGTTCAGCTTCTGCAGAAAGCTTTCCTACATCCATATGAAAGTATGGACTCTTAACCTTTCCATGTTAGATTGTATTTTACTCATAGATAAAGGGAAACAAGCTTATGGATGATTCTGCATCTTACACATCTCTGCTTACACAAGCAGGTCTGAAATCCATGTAGCTGGAAGAAGTCTACAAAGCCACACGTTAAATCTCCATTTCACACTCAGGTTCAAGAAGAAATCTCATGCATGTTAAGTGCCGTTTTATTCCAAGTGTCCCTCCATTTCAGTGTTTGGTGAAGAGCAATCCATCCTTGCTGAAGGAACAAAAATTGTCAGAGAGAGAAGGGAAAATACTGAGGGATATGTAACCCCATGGAGCACTTCTTTGAATAAATGTTAAGAAAATAAGTCAAGCTGTTCCCTAGCAAACTAGAAAATTTCTGGTTTATTTTCTGAGCTCCCATTTACAACAGAAGCAAGAGGTCTGTGAGGCCTTTCTAGAGAAGAAAATTCTACCTGAAAAATGAACTGTAAGAGATACCAGTCCATGAGTAACTCCCTGTAAGCAATGTGCTCTAAGCTGCATCACTGCTTAACTTTGAATAACAGGCTGAAGGGAAGAATTCCTTTCTGTGTCTGAAATCACAGAAAAGAACAGAAAGAAATCCTTGGCTGCTGGCTTGATACATACAGAACCTTACCAAATCAAATGTGAGTTTTCCCCTGTGGTCAGTTTTTGTCTTTCCACTGACTGATTTGCAATAGCACCCCCACACACACACACATGCTCTGAAGCTTGAGGGAACAGGAGCAGATAAGCAGGCAGCTAGAGCAAACATATTCATTTACACTTGTTTAACTAGATCTAAATTAATTTGTGGAACGTTCCCTTTGGGCCTAGTAGGCTGTTGAAAGCAAAAGACCTTTTGTTTTTCCTACTTACAGTAACTGCTAGGTTCACATCTGCTAGGCTCCTCTTCTCATGGAGAACTCTTGTCCTCCATATCTCCATCTCTGCAAGGGCACCAGTTACATATTCGCAAAGATCTTTTTGTAACTCCATACTATGGCAATGCAATCCTGACATGTAACTATATAGGCACTGGCAGCAGATCTCATCTTTTGACCGAGACTGACAATGACATAGTTTTGTCTCAAAATTATTTTTTCTCTTTTTATAACAAGCACCACAAGCACTTATCCCACTTCCGTAAAGAAGCACAGTTCACTCTTTGCCTAACAGGTAGTATGGATAGGATAACACAGGTTCTTAATACCATCCAATTAGATAACAGGGCGATCAGAAAATGCTTACATTTTAACTTCCAAACTATTATCATGACTAGAAGAATAACTACAGAATAGGGAAAGTAAATTCATATGGCTGCTTTGCAGGCTGCAAACTACTCCCATTACACTCAAATATTTAGGAAACAGAGGTATTGGACTTCACTTAGTGAAGGAGGTATTTTCCTGCATCTTTCCTTTCTTCCTTATCTTACACATGATTTGGTTTGATTTCCAACAGCATTAAGTCAAAGGCTTTGGTATGAACACAGTGGTCTCTGCTTCCAACATGCAGCAGTAACTTATCGTGAAGTATGCATAATAAGGAAAATAAAAAATATCAAATTGGTAAAACAGAGAAAAACATAGTGCGACAAAGACTTAGAAAATTCCATCTTCCATCACAAGAAGTTTATTGCATTTGAGGAGAAAAGTAATGGGATAAAAGGAGTAAGACAAATTTGAAGAAAAAAATTAAAGCAATTAATTCAACAGAATTGGAATTTTGCAGACTTATTTACACGCAGTAACACCATCCTCAATTTCATTTATGATTTGGGTAAAAAAGTCCTCTTATCATATGTGACAATTTGAACTAATCTATCTACATTCTTTGGGGTTAACTGACTTAAGACAGAGTAATATTTGTGATGCAAAATAGTCCAAAATCAAATAAAACTTGGAATCAGGCAAATGCAGGTTGGGATGGTTGGTCTCTGCTGTAACCTCCTGCTCACAACAGGTGAGCTCTGAGGTCAGACCAGGCTGCTCAGGGCTGCACCCAGCTGGGACTTGAAAACCTTCAAGTACAGAGATTGCACCACCTCTGTGGACAACCTGTGCCCCTGCCTTACTATCTCCATGGGGCAAAAAGTGTCTTCTTACATCCAGACTGAAACTCTTGCCTTTCAATTTATGTCCATTGTCTATACCTTCTCCCCCAGCCCCAATTTACAGCCTGACTCAGTCTCCTTGATGACTTCCGTACAGGCACTGGGGGCAGCTGGTAGGTCCTCCCAAAGCCACCATCTCTGCTCCAGGCTGTACAAGTCCAGCTCCCCCAGCCTCTCCTTGCAGGACCAGCCTCACCATCTCGTGGGCCTCCCCTACCCCTTGTCCCTGTACAAGATATGTCTCATGTCTTTTGTACTGGGAGCCCCAAGCTGGGTGCAGGATTCAGATACCATCTAACGACTATGAGTAAAGGGGATTAATTGTGAACAGGGTACAGGTCCCTGGGATGAGGACAGCCCATTTCATTCTTTTAGCTACCTTTTCCTAATGCTTTCCAGTTGTTGTTACATTTACTAGCTAATAATTGTGTGTGCTTCCAATCCTATGCAAATGTCGGCTAAAACACATTTTTTGTCAAGAATCTCCCCCCACCGCCAACTTGTAGCTGTGAACCTATGTGGGAACTGATGCTCCAAGGTGAGCTTTGCTGTATGCTAGACCCTGTGGAGGAGCTGCTCACAACACGGAAGTGCTCTGGCTCTCTTCAGAGAGCTTTTCACCCCAAAGAAAACCATTCCCTCACAGCAGAGCCTTGTGTCTGCAGCAACTGGTTACCAACACATAAAGTATAGGAGAGTGTGCATTATTTCTTGTCTATTTTCTCTCACTGACTTCCACAAGTTATTCTACCAGAACACTGGTTTCTAAAGACGTGTATGTAGTATGTATATGTAGTGCTACCACTAAAGCATCAATCACACTGGAGCACAGAAGTTAATACCTTCCTCATTAAAATATTTTATTAATAAGCAAATAATAAAAACAGCGGCAAATATTTCATGACATGATTCAGTTTTAAAATATCTCAGAAGCAATGCAAGCTAATTAATTATGACAATGTCATGTGCCCATAAGAAAAGCAGGTCAAATCTTGAAAGTAATCAGAACCTTCTCTGGTCCTGTCTGAAATGCAAAAACATACACAAAATAAGAAAATCAGCCTCATAATTAATTTACTATTGTTTAATAAGGCCTCAGGAGTGAGGATTGACCTCTCTAATTTCAGATATCTAAATGCAGGTTGAGCCAGTTGCTGTGGCAATAAAAAACAATAGAAGAAATCTGACAATTTTAAGTCTATATTGGAATAAAATAATTTGAGCTTACAAATTTTCCTTTCTCTCAGATGATTATAAAGAAGCACAGGACAATCTCTGCACTATGCCTCCCATCCTATGTTTCACATCCAGAAATCTCTTCTTGGCCCACCATTTGTGTCAAGCAATACAATTTATCCTGCATCTTTTACTGTGACCTAAGCAGAAATAAGTGGTATTGGTATGTTCATGCAGACATTTCTGCTGTTCAGTTCAAAATGGTAACTAATAAAATTTCAACAGCTTGTTTGTGTCCTCTATAAAAAACCAAGAGAATTAGCAAAATGACAGCTTAAAACTTCTGCATCTGTGCTGTGACTGAAGTTCCATGATCAGTTAGCACAAATTCAGAAATGCATAACTCAAGAAGGGTGGGTGCAATGCCCTGTTTCAAGTTATTCTTACTATCTGCATAACAATAATGCCCCAAGGTTCCAGCTAAGATCAAAGTCCAACCATATTACAGGGTTCAGACATTCATAATAACACTTTGTCTGCTGTGGATGAAAACATGCCACTGCAGCACCTGAGGTTGATACTACTTCCAGGTGTTTCCTGCCTCCCTGTCCATGGACGAGAAGTTGTGTTTCCCGAGGGAAGGGCAGCAGTAAAGCCTAAATGCTACATTTAAGCCACTGTATCTTTCCCTCTGCAGGGCAGCAAAATAGCAGATCACAGAATCATAGAACGGCTTGTGTTGGAAGGGACCTTAAAGATCATCTAGTTCCAACCCAGATACCTGCGGTCCCTTCAGCTGCAGCTGTTACACTCACTACAGCTGAGTCCTAAAGAAGCAGATCTTGTTTCAGCTAATGTATAAAACAGACGTGGCACAAGAGAGGTGAACTGGCTTCCCAAGATCATTCATATGATCATGGAGAAAGCCCAGACAGACCCACTACACGGTACTGTCTCCCAAACTAGCTACTAAATCAAAATCTCTTATTTCTCAGAGACAAGTCTTAAAACGAGGCACATACTAATGCAGCAATGCCAATGGCCAGCATCAAACATCGGTGGGCGAAGCCATGGGGTATCAAGTGCATGGTCTTAAAGACCAAGTAGGTCTCTGGTAAGTCTAACAGAACCAGGGGTAGGGAATGAAGGGGGAATTCTGCTCTATTTACTTACATTTAGATCACCATACAAGTACAGAAGTGCCAAAGGGTGGGAAAGGAGGAGCAATTCTTTCCCCTACATTGTGGTACAGTAACAGATATGAGTTGAAGTGACCCTTACTGCTGCTGAGGTCTCAGCTCACTGGCCAGTGAATCCCCTCTTTGCTCAATGCAACCTTCTCCTATCTGCAGCCAGAGCTTCACAAATTAACCTCACTGTCACAGTGATTGGTGAGTGTGGGCTTATTTTCTCCAGTGACAAACAGCTGATGTTTGCCTTTTTCAGATCCCTGCATAAGCAAATATTGTTCAAGTGCTGAATTCCTAAGCAAGCTGAAAAATTCATTATTTAAAACACGATTGTGTTCCAGCATTGCACAATATTAATATTGCTAAAGCTACTTAATGCCTGCACATCTAATGCATTTATACAGTAATTTGATAAATTTTAACTGAACTTTTTAATAACTGTTTCTAGTTATTCATTAATTTGTCAAATTTGGACCAAATGTTTCATTGGTCTCTACATGTGCACATATCATTGGTTGCACATTCAGTCTCCTCTTCCGCACGACAAAAAATTTCCACTTTTTTATGAAGATCTGCTCTTCATTTGGTCTCTCCTGTTAGACAAGGTGCACCTCAGTTGGATTTCATTTGTGTTTTCAGTTTGGCAAGACCACTGAGACATTCATCTCTCCATTTTCTCCTGGCATCCAAGACTTTTGGCACAACTGGAATTTTTTCAGTCATTGCCTGGAACAGAAAATTTAAAATGATTAAATCTCACGTTCTGAATAGAAAGTTTCTCACCAGCATTGTTTTCCTGTTTTCCCTGTGTCAGATCAAGTCAACATCCACACAAACTATAATGTAGTTTCACAAGCAACAGGTCACTAATTCTTTAAATGGATGACTGGAAATGAGCCAACCCATATGAAAAGAAAAGTGTTCCCACTTGTATAAGGTTATCCTGAATGTGACAATGAAGACGACTACAGAAACAACAAAACATCAGCCTCTTCCCTCACTTTGCTCCACACAGCCACTGCCTAGTCTCTTTGACAATAATCTTTTATCAAGCAGGAGGGAGGCAACCGGGCCATTTATGTGGCTGAAAATGTGCTCTAAACCAGATTCCTGTGTGTGTTTTTAAAGCTGTGATGTCTCTTCTGGTTCCCAATAAATGTAATGAGGGATACCATGTTTATTAAAAACATTTTGTCTTAAGAGTGCCAGTTATAATAAAAATGATAGAGGGAGATACATAACAAACTCAGGGGAAAAAAAGGTACTTCTGAGTGTACAACTCAAGTTCTTAGAAGTGCCAAAGAAAAAGCAATTTTTTGAGAGAGCAGGTAAAGATTACAAGGTCATCTTTGCCAAAAGAGTACCTGAGGTCTTAGGTTTAAAAATCAAGTGTTGAGAAACTGGGTAAAACCAGGACCTGCTACCAATGACTTGGAAGCTGTGGTTACTCCAGAAAAAAACCAGCAGGAGGGACAGAGAAGTAAGATAAGAAATGTCTAATGATTTACTCTAAGAAAGGATCCTTGCAAGCCTATCTTTGGTGTTAAAGACTGAAGATAATAAAGAGACACAGAAACAGATGCTGAAGTGGAATACAGCTTTTTATAAAAAAACCCAAAGTCTTTCATGCAAATTAAAAGCTGCTAATTGTGAATGACTCCACAATTATTATTGATTGTTATTATAAGCAATCTATGTTGTTAAAGCATAAAAGAATTCTTTTCCTTTTTAACATAGCTCATGTTGAAACTGCATTAACATAAAAAGAAACAAAACAATGCTATCTTCCAGACAGATTGCCTCCATATTTCAAATGAATCTCTGATAGCTGATCAGAAATGATCCAACACATAAGTTCTTTAGTGAAGCATTAAAAAAAGCAGAGTTAGGAAGTACTTCAGTTAGTTCCTATGGTCATTCAAAATAGCCTACATAGTAAGTATAAACAAATTGTGGGCTTAGAAATGTTAATAGACAAACTAGATTCCAATCCAGAACAGCACTTTAAAACATCTTTAAACATGCAAGTAACCTTACCAGACTGCTCACATGCTTAACTTAAACATGTATTTGCAGTGCTACAGACTGGAACTCTAGTTTGTAAAGCACAAAAACAAGAAAAAGAACACCCAGAAGGAAAAAAGCTACAGGGTTTATACAGCAAGGAATCTTCTTCCTTAAAGTACACATTCACACAATAAGTACAGACTACGGATACCTATAGCAGTTAACTGAAATGGTACAAATGTTAAAATAAAAGCTAACATTCGTTGTTCTGAGTGTCACTGTTTTTATCAATTCTGCATTTACCTGATTGACTTTCTGCACAACTTCACCTGAAAATTCTGGAACTGGCCCAAAGGTGTTCAGAACAAGTCTCATTCCTTCAGAGTATCTTTCACAATAACTTGCAATACCTAAAAATAAAAGTGAAAAGTTAGATTTCAACAAAATTTCCTAGTTAAGGTCAGTAAGGTTGCCTGTGCTTAAGCACTGTCTTACATCAGAAACCCAAAAAATGGTCTGCTCTTATGATTAAGACACCTAATTGTCATCAAGGAAAAATGGATTCTAACCACCACATTTCCATTAAGGTTCATGGAAAAATCATTTAGGACACACCTTCATTGCAAAACCAGTTAATGTTACATACCAGTAGGTAATGCTATGTGAGGGGTGTAGTACACAACCACAGCTTTACTTGAGACAAGAAAGCCTCCTTGACCAGTGTCCACAAGGAGAGTGCTCTCACCTCTCCTCTCCTCCTGTTCAGTATGTATCATATCCATTGCAGCATTCCTGTTATTATTTTTATTTATGAACCTGGAGTGTATCAAGAACAACATGGCTCAGGGGGAAAGGGTCAAAGGCATGGAGACCCAGGTGGCCTCTAGTGAAGGAAAAACACTTAAGGAGGAACAGATGGATCTTGCAGATCAATACCTTATATTGTAACTGGGGTTAGTGACAGGGATTTGACTTTTATGACCCTCTGAAGGTTGAACACTTGTAGGGGGAGACAGAATCCACCTGACAAAGAGGAGAAAAAGCATCATTGCCAAAAACCTGGCCAATCTGGTGAGAAAAGCTTTATATTAGGATCACTGGAAAAGTGAGATTACAACCAGTAATCAAGAGAGGAAGGTGTATATGGGGATAGAAAGAAAAGAGTGCAGGGTAACAGGTACAAGAAAAATCTCAAAGTACAAAAAAAGGCAGAAAGAGTCCACTCTAGTGTATATGCACAAATGCATGCAGCTGGAAAACAACCAGAGGAAGTAAGAGTGTGGTCAAACAACTACAACATTGTTGGAGCAACTGTGGTGTGGTGGGATGGCTCACACAGCTGGAGTGCTGCAGCGTACAGATATGGTAAACAGAGAAGTGTCAGCTATCAGTTATTCTGGTGCTTATCCAGCTGACACAGGTCTATGACACATAGTTTGAGTTTGGTACTTTTCCGAAAGTCAAGGCATACCTTTCAAACATTTGGTAAGCTTGTTTAATAATACCATAGATCTGGTAGTTTTGATTTTGGTACAGTCAGGAGAAGGTAGAATAGAAGACTGTGTGCCAGAAGTCTTCTTCACAAGCCTTAAGCTAAAGAGCTAAAGAGATAGTATCTTAGGAATGTTGAATGGATATGGCTGATCCATTTACCTGGTGAATGTGAACTCCTGAGCTGGATATGGCCTTCAAAGCTCACTCAGCCAGATAGATTTGGAAATTGAGCTCCTACTGGCAGCTCACTTTGAATGAATCAGAACAATTTCTGGGTGGGTGTAGATCATCAGTTCAACAGAGACATGCCAAATGCAGGCTGGGTAATCCAATTTACTCACTGCACATAACGTATGAATGAATAGAAGCCTTACACAAAGTCAGCAAATTAGGAAAAGGTGGGAAAAAAAAGTTATGGGTCTAGAGAAGAGCAGCAGCATTAGTGCAGCTGATCTCAACATTGTGGCTGAAAAGGCAACACGCAGGCCTGTATGCTGCACATCAAGCAGGGAGGGGGCACTGCAAAATCTTTCAAGTCTCAAGTGAGGGAAACAGACCAAGTTAGAATACACACATAGTCTCAGCCAAGGACTAAAAAAATAATAGTTTCAAAATAACTAACCCAAGGTAGTACTCCCAGTGTGAAATGTCAGTGGAGACAACTGCAATTTTAATTTGGTTTCAGCAATCAGGATCAACTGTATGCTGCCGGCTTCAAGAAGGCACTTGAGCAATGGGGAATATTGCTGGAAAAATCACTTTGCTTTTCAACTGCAAACTCAAAATTAGCAAATATTTGACTCCAGGTCTTTAGTCTTGGGAGTCCTTTGGTTCAAAGGTCAGGGCTATAGCAAAGGTGGATGAGAAGAGCCCTTGACTAGAGCATAGGGACAAGAAGGAGGAAAACAAATATGACAGAATTCCTTTAACTTTAATCCTTGTTGATACTACCCAGGGAGCAGCTTAGTCTTAAAGAAATTAGCATTAGTAAACAGTGTGAGACAGACAGGAGAGCACCTTAGAGATGGAGAAACAGGAAGAAGATGGCAAATGGGGTTGTTAAAAACAACCATCTCTCCTTGCATCCAGTTGCTGTGCCCACACTGTGCCTCACTATCTCTAACTGGAGAACAAGAATGATGCAAGATGCATCTGGGACAGAGAAAGAGGATGATAGCTTCTTCTTGTCTATGCGGTTTGTTGGCTCCCTGTCTAAACCTCCATATTCCCTGCACACACTCGCTTCATCAGCTTTGGAGGAAAGACGCTGTGGGAGAAGGCAGATGTTGCAGCAATTGGGAACTCTGAACACAGGGTAGAAATACCTCCAGGGAAGGCAGGAATTCCTTGAATCTTCCTTCCACCACTTAGTCACAGCTACGGCAGAGAGTGAAAGAACCTCTTCTTGAGGTAGCAAAAAGTTCTAAGGGAGTAGTGGATGCAGGATTATAGAGAAGAAAAGGGGAATACTCTATCTTCCTTGAAAATTCAAAACCCATCTCAGCATTTCTGACTTCTACAGTATAGTTACAGGAACATGTTATCACAGGCTAGACAAGGGCATTGATTCAAGGCTCTTCAGCTGCCCATATGTATCTAGGACACACAAGGCTCTTTATACCACCAAAAAAGGAATAAGCTGCTACTTATTCAGCTTCAGCAAGAGTCCGGACAGTTTTCAAAATGGCTAACAAACTGTCCCACAAGAATTTGTCCAAATAACCCACTTCAGGTTTACAGGTCCTTACCTGAAGGAATTGCATTGGTGTGGTGCAAACATGGTTCTTGCTGAAATGCCTCTAGTTGCATCATCAAGATGAACACGACATTGATGAAGAAAAAATAACTCAGAACAAATATTTAGCTTAGAAACATGCATAAAATGCTTCACTGCCCTAAGAAGACCTCTTCTCAAGTGAAGTTCATAAAGAGAAAGGTGATGGGAGTAGTAGGAAGAAAGGGAAAATACAACAGTATAAAATGTAGTATATTCATGCATTATAGTTTGTAAGCATCTTGAAGTATCTCAGCTTCTTCCTTTCTCTTCATAAGACAATAGGTATGAGGGATGCAAGCAAGCAAACTTGGTAAACCAGTCTGACAAGGAGACTACACATGGGGCAAAACAAGGAAGGCACTGAGATATTTGTGGAAGAGAGCAAGAGACAGGAGCAAGTGTTACTGGTATAGTCAGGGAACATGCCAAAGAGAGGGTGCTTCATGATACTGAGTATTAACTTGATGACTTTCAACCTGATGAACAGCATAACAAGATACTGTAATGACTCAAAAAGAGCTGGTAAGATGGTCAAGCCACTGATGCAATAGCATCAACAACTTGAAAAGACTGGGGTGGGGTTGACTTTAGCACATAAAATCTAAGAAGCAGCTGCACTGAAAGATGAGTATGGATGACAGTAGAAAAAAAGGGGCATATTTTGGGAACATCATGGAGTAATCTGACATGGTTAGGTTACGTTCAGAGAAACAACAGTCCCAAACTCTGTTTTACTGATGGAGGAATTACATTTCTAGACATTACAGCTCCAAGGGAAACTTTCCAAATGTAATCCTACCTTCAGCAAAGGTGTGTCTGAACACAGATGCATGCTCTTAGTTAGGGTGTGAATTCACAGGATGCTTCATATGCTACATTAATTCCCATATGAATTCACTTCAAATTCTAGTTGTATGAATACTTTTGATTACCTTAAGACAGCAGTAACACCCAAAAAAGTTTTATTCTCACTGTTTCTATATTATCACCTCAACAGCAATGCACAAACGTTTCTGCAGGTCTGTGAGCTGGATCCAGGAATTAAATTGAGTCAATATGAGCCACTTGGATGTGCTTCCCCCCCCCAAAGCAGTTTCCTTCCTGTCTGTTGCAATTCAGTTCTCAATATGCTGGTGGTGTTTCTGCTCCTTTTGATGACTTGATGCTGTCATTTTATTTCATGTTCAAGGCTATTGGCTCACTGCCATATATTCAACATTCCTAATACTCATGCATGGATTAACTGGTAACCTAAAGTGGCCTGGATAATAGGTTTGATAGGATCATTTATGAACTAACACAGCAGAAACAAGACACTAGCACATAGGAAGTTCATGGGAAGATCTTGATGTATGCATCCCACAGGGAAAGAAGAAACACTAATTTCAGAAAAAATAATTGGAATAATATTCCTTATTCAAAACCAAACAAAAATGTCATATCACCCTAAAAAAAAAAAGAAAAGACAGACTCTCCTACAAATAACACTATTTTTCTCTCACATGCCTCCTTCATGCCTACCATCCTTCCTCACTGATTAACAGAGTTTAAGATTGTGGGCAACTAATATCTTATAGCTGTAAAGAAAGGCAGCTGCTGTGAAGCTGATAGGCTAATAAAAAGGATAGAGGGGGTTTCTTATACCTACCTCCATTTCCCTCCACTGATAAAAAATAGACAGTATTAGTACAGTGCTTCAGAGCAGGTTGTCATAGAGTCATTTAGACTGGAAAAGACCTCTAAGATCATCAAGTCCAACCATTAACCCTGCACTGCTCAGTCCACCACTAAACCATGTCCCCAGCTGCCACATCTACATGTCTTTTCAATACCTCCAGGGATGGCGACTCCACTACTTCCCTGGGCACCCTGTTCCAATGCTTGACAACCCTTTCCACAAAGTCTTTTTCCTTTGTATCCAATCTAAACCTTCCCTTGAGGGTTCCACCTCAAGGTGCAACTTGAGGCCATTCCCTCTTGTCCTATAACTTGTTTCCTGGGAGAAGAGATAGATCCCACATGGCTACAACCTCCTTTCAGGTAGTTGCAGAGAGCGATAAGTAGTTACAGAGGCTCATCTATCCTGAGCCTCCTTTTCTCCAGGCTAAACACCCCCAGCTGTTCCTCATAAGATTTGTGCTCCAGACCCTTCCCCAGCTGCATTGCCCTTCTCTGGACACACTCCAGCACCTCGATGTCTTTCTTGTAGTGAGGAGCCTAAAACTGAACACAGGATTCAAAGTGTGTCCTCACCAGTACTGAGCACAGGGGGTCAATCACTGCCCTGGTCCTGCTGGCCACACTATTGCTGATACAGGCCAGGATGCCATTGGTCTTCTTGGCCACCTGGGCATACTGCTGGCTCATGGTCATCCACTGTCAACCAAGACCCCCAGATTCTTTTCCACTGGGCATCTTTCCACCCACTCTTCCCCTAGCCTGTAGCACTGCATGGGGTTGTTGTGACCCAAATGTGGGACCCAGCACTTGGCCTTGTTGAGCCTCATACAGTTGGCCTTGGCCCATGGATCCAGCCTGTCCAGATCCCTCTGCAGACCCTTCCTGTCCTCCACAAAATCAACACTCCAACCCAATTTGGCGTCGTCTGCCAACTGACTGAGGGTGCACTCGATCCCCCTTGTCCAGATCATTGATGAAGATGTTAAATAGGACTGTCCCAAATACTGAGCCCTGTGAAGCACCACTATTTACTGGGCCCCAGCTGGATGTAACTCCATTTCACCACCACTCTCTGGCCATTCAGACAGTTTTTTACCCAGTGAACAATATACCTGTTCAAGCCATGAGCAGCCAGTCTCTCCAGAAGAATGCTGTGGGAAACAGTGTCAAAGGCTTTACTAAAAGTCCAGGCAAAAAACATCCATAGCCTCATGCACTAAGCGGGTCATCTTGCCATAGAAGATCAGGTTAGTCAAGAAAACCCTTGGCAATCAAGAGGAGGTCCATACTATTCCATATTATGTAAAGCAATAGTGGACAACTGAAGAGAAGTTAGCACTGGAATGGAACTATGAACATCACATGTCCTGACATCAGCAATTTTGATTTGAACTGATGAGGGCAAGAGCCTGAGTCAGTCTGTGAGCACACAAAGAGGAGCAGCTCTAGACTCAGAGACAATGAATCTGCAAGGGCAGGAGTGAAGCAATACTTCTCATGATCCAAGTTATTGAACAATGGTGGAAGTGGTCCAGTACACAAGTGTACTAAATATGTTATTTTAGGGTTATTTTTAATTGAGAATATTATTTAATGTTAAAATAACTCTACAGGTGTATTTTGGTTTTTTATTTTGCAAGCCTATCACCAGACTACTCTTTCAGTTTATCAGTCACTTGGATTGTATTTCCCAAGTTTTCTTCCTAACATATTAATAGAAGGAATCATTAAATCTAGAAGCTGGATAATTTCTGCCATTAATAAACAACCTACCAGTTTCATGTGTTACCTAAAATTGGTTTGAGACGGGAAATTTCAGAAATGTTTTGGTAACAATGACTACTTCCTGATAGGAAGAAGGAAGCTAAACTGGATCATGATGGAACACTAAATGCCAAAGAGCACTCCAGGAAGAGCCTCAAAACCAACCCAGATGACTTACATGATTCCATTTATCTCAAGTAAACATTGTTTTAGAATTCAGGAGTCTAAAACATGGATTAAAAAAAAAGATTCACAAGCATGATTTGATCTCTAAAATGGATTGCCATTTTATGGTATAAATAAACATTCTGTTTCAGTTTTATGTTTTAGTAGAGGCAGTTCAACAAGTTACTCTGACAGAAGACCCTGTGCATGAATGATTCCTGCAGAGGATGGCATGAGAGCTTAGTGGAATGGTAGGGGCTGGACTGGACAACCCTGGCCTGCAAGACTCCAGGTAGTTTGCTGTGCTGAAGGCTAGTGCTACATGCATCTGTTTTATATAAAGAATGTATATGGTTATACTGAGTAAGTCTAAAATCACTAGAGAGAATGGAAACTGCTAGATATTAATAGATCAGAAGAGGGAAACTTTTAGAAAGGTGCCTCTGTTTAGAGGATGAATGTTGTTTACCTAACAATACACAAAAGCAAACACTCTGTGACATTTAATTTACTGATATACAACCAAACCAACAAGCTGAAAGACCCTGGTAGAGCATCCACAATTCCACATTCATGGCAAATTGCTTAGTCAGCCTTAAGAGACATAAGCTTCTGCTAAGTAACCAACCAAGAAGTAGAAGTAAAATAACACTTTAATTGTGCACTGGTATTTTATGATCTCGGTTTCTTATTTTTATTTTACTATTGTATTCTACTTTTGTTTATTTTACTGTTGCTGGGACCTCCCATGTTAGGGACCATACAAAAGGAGAATAAAGGCACAGCCCATAATATAAGTTAGTTTTTAGTTGACCTTCATTTCTTGAAGTTTTTGTGTTTTGCTAAAGTCTTTGCTCAGTCTTTGTAACACTGATCCACAATTTTTCTTTCATTTTATGAAATTCACTTTTTGTTTAGCTAGGATTCACATATACTATTCCAAAAACATCTAAAAATCTGTCTTAATTATGCAAGACAGATATTGAACCATCACTTGACCGCTTTTTCAAGTCAACTTCGTATGCACAGTATTATGTGACTAAAGTAATTTTACTTCACTCAGGATCTAAGCCAGCTTAAAGCATACCAGCTCCAGTGATATTTACACCAAGCCTTTGTATTTGCTACAAATTCGGGGAGGGTGGCACTCATCTATGGAAAGTGATTTTCTGTTGACACTGGATTATCAGCTGAACTTTTTCAATACTTTCTTTTCCTGACACTCAGACAGCCCTGAACTACGGTTACAGCAATGCTGTCAAAGCATTGGGATGAATCTTGGAAAAAATTAATTACACAGCTAGTGTTTTAATGATTTGTCATCTTTCATCTGATCATTTAAAATAGAATAGTCAATATCCATTTCCTTCCATCAACCTCAAGTTTTAGGTAAGTTTTCCTTTTCTTACCATTACAATAAAGAAAGGTACAAGTCATAGTTGCAGCAATCCTAACATGGTTTTATTACACAACATTTCCAGAGTCTTGTGCAATGTAAGCCTTCCCTTCATATTCATAACATTTTAAACTACCTACCTTCTGCATTAAGATGCATGGTTTCCAGAGGTCCAATAAATGCATATCGCATTCCCAATCCATCAGACATCACAAGGTCTAGATCAGTAGGAGATATTACTCCTTCCTAAGCAGCAAAAGTAGAACAGGAAGGAAGGGTGGTGAATGCTTGCTTTTAATATAAAATTTCACAGGTTTTGTATATAATTAAAAAATTAAAGAAGTAATAAAAACTAAGGTCAGAAATAGCAGTTAGCTTGCAAAGAGAAACAAAACTGCTTGCCAGAAATGCCCATCTATTATGCAAGCCTTCCTATGGTTCAGTATAAGCACTCATTCATATCTCTAAGATTGCTGTACTTCATAGTCCAACTACACTTTGATACATTTTCACAGTATTTCTTTAATTTATAAATTTACTTTTACATACAGTATGTACTATTTGTACACAGTAGTTTGCCTGATACTTATTACTTTCAATAATTCATGTACTAAAACTAAACTAGAGCTGTGTATGTTAACCAATATCCTTTTTTTTCCCCAGAAACTGAAAATCAGAGAAGCAAGCAAGCATGACACTCTTAACAGCACATGACCAGAAGAGTTTATATCAAATCTAAGTACTATAGTAACTCTTTCAAATACGGGAGTTTTGGCTGAATGTTACACCTTCCCTCATATTCTCTTGGGTTTGAATTTTTTGGGCAGAGTCACAGTTAGCAGAATGGCAGTGCAGCAGTGGGTACTACTCCTGAGGCCACCTGCAAAAAAAGCTGGGACCAAACACGCAGGCAATGAAGTTGCCACTCCCTCCCAAAAAACTCATTGAACATTCAAACTACCCAGCCTCAACCTGCCCAGGGTTCTCAAGTTCATTTCAGAGCTGGCAGGATACAGAGTATGCAAAATGAAGTATTTTGGTGTTAAAAGCTGAGCACTGCTATTCCACCCACATAGTAGCACTTACAAGAAAGCCAACACCTCCATCAGGTCAGGGCAAGCACAGGAAAGGTTGTAAAAAAATGAGTTACAGTTCATTACCTTAACAGATTTATTCGAGAAGAATACTATTTATTACGTGAGGTTGTTTTCAACTACTAGAAAGATATGAATTAACTAAAACTTGTTCTAATCAATTCTATCAGACAAAGCTTAGTTTCAAGAATTTGTCCTCTTTATTCACAGAGACATGAAAACATTTCCTTCAGGTTTAGGAAGGCGGAAGAGGTTCTGAACTGCTTCTAATTTGTCTTCTCACCCTACTCTGAGGTGCTGTCCTCACTGAGTGCCTCTTTCCTAAGAAGCCCCTTCGAGCTGCAGAATACAAGTACATATACACATTTGCTTGGCCAAAGACACGTCTTTTTCTGTTAAATTTCCCTCTTGCAGGGCCCTGCCTCAATACCCCTTTATAACACACAGGCATCAGCTAGAGTTACAGGCACACAGGACAACAACCTGTAGTAGACGCTGACATCTGAGCTAGACATCTAGACTCTCTTTGTAATCACTAGGGAGAAAAAGGAAATCAGCATCCTAAAGCAGGCTCCTAGAATAGATGAGTTGTGTCCTAAAAGGGCCTAATTCTCCTCACTGATTGAAAGATGAGTAAGGATCTTAGATGTCAAAGTCTACATTGTAGACACCCCATCTTAAGTGACTTATTCTCACCCCACAGTGTCTTCCTGTGTTCATCATCTACATCATCTACTGCTGCTTTAAAAGGAAGTTATAAGCCAAAACCCAACATAACTTCTACAGCTGGCCACAGACATCGTTTTGTCATCTCAGGCTTAAATAGAGACATTTATAAGATGATCTCAAGTCTCAACTTGTCAATTGCTCCTATCAAAAACAAGCCTGTCTGAATCCCTGTTGCAGATGACTTTATAACTCTACCTTGAAAAGGAAACATTAACAGAATTATTAAGACCTATGCACTATATATGGAACACATGGTTCTGGTAACAATTTAATTAGACAGTAAATGGCATGGATAAGAAAGCATAATTTTCTTCAACTTAAAGGTAAAGCATAGGCATGGTAAAGTAACTCATCTAGAGGCAGACAGAAAGGTCTGCATAAAGACAGGACTAAATGAAAACCTCAGACAGAATTCAGATTACAGACCAGCATCAGTGTAACTAACACAGGCACCATAGGTTCTGTGAAAGCTTTTTCTCCTGACGTGGCAACACAACTTCTCTGAACAACATCAGCAAAGTCAACAAAAATGCTCTTCTGTTGGGAGTGCTTCATTCAAACAATGAGTTGTGCTGGTAAAGCTGTGCTTGATGAGTGTTTGTTTCTCCCCACCCCCACCCCGGTTGACATGTATTTGTGGACAAAAGATTAACGACAAATTCCAGACAAGCATTTGAACCACAGCAGCAGTTAAAAACTGTAAACATAGCATTAAAAGAGTTAACAGGCTCTTGAAGCACTTCAGAATAATTGCAAATTACTTTTCAAATTAAAAACTTATTTATTTATTTTGATACCATAGTCCTCAGCTTTGATACTGACATTTGAAGACCAGGTGCCCTCTGAGTCATGACACGAGTGCTTTGCTCTTGGTCTTTTGACTATAGCTGCAATTGACGTTTACAGGTGCTAAAAGGCAAGAATTGTTGCTACTGGAAAGAAAACATGACAGATCCCTTCAGCTGAGAGATAGAGTATTTTATACAAACAAGCTCAGCTTCTTGTCACATAGACTCTCTTAAAGAAAAAGTTTTTGCTTTTTCTCTTCAGAAATTAAAAACACATAAATGATAAACAAGTTAGACCATCCTCCCCTAAGGAATAACCCTACACCCACTTATGTTAAGGACATCATAAGCTGGTGGAATGACTCAGCAGGGTGGGTGCAAGGTTAGCAAAATGTCTTCCACAAGGATTGGTGTTTATGCTAAGCACCAAACAAGAAAGAGTTCCAACCCAGTTTCATTAAGTCTAGGTGTGAAATAATCTTCCCAAGGGGAGTTTTCATCCTTCTTGTAAACCTTCGCCTCCAGCACTTGTCAGAGGGAAGAGGAAGTGTATTAAGAGTTCACTAGAAGCTCTTGAAGCTACAGAATTAAGCTCTTAATTTAAAATAAATTCCACCAGAATCCTCAATGGTCCCAATGGCCAGTCAAACTTCAAAATCTAGACCAGCTCAGAATCCTCCACACTTCTTATGACATCACAAATTCATTTTCCTGGAGATTTTAATCTCCAGTGATGCCACAGTACTGTCCTAATGAGCCTTTGGTATTCTATTAGTGCTTCTCTCTATGCAGGGACCCTTTTCACCTTTTCAAAAACCTGCGGTGGTTCTCTAGTATCCACCTTTATGCTCTGACCCAACCTGTTTGGTTTTAATCAACAGTCTTTACATCTGTGACTCACACCCACATCGCAACTTCTGTCACTGACTTGGTTTGTAATTATATTAGATGTAGCGTGGCCAAAACCCTCCAATCTCACTTTTTTTCATTCTACCAATTCATCATGTTCTTCTACTCACTCCAGTCTGTTTATAGAGTTATTCTGGACTCCACTGCCTCCTGGACCACATACTTTCTGTCTCCAAATCTGCTACTTCATTCTCTGTATCTCCCAAATCCAGTATTCTCCTTTTTCTGATTGCCACTGATATATGCATTCTCTCTCAGAAGCACTTCTTACACCCTTCTCTTCACTATCACTTCAATCAAGTCCCTTCCATCTACACCCTGATGAGATCTTTTTCCAGTCCTGTCATTTTGAGCAGATAACTTTTCTCCTACCAGCTTCATCTCTGTGCATTTCATAATGTTTGAGAAACTTGTTGTCCTACACACTTCACACCTACTTTGCTGGCTTTTATCTTCCTTCTTCCATGGCACCTTCACTCACCTCACACTGTAAGAAACACTTAATATCAACATCTTTTTATCCCTGTCCCTTTCAACTTCCTTTTATGATGTTCCCCCTTTTATGGGGCACTGTAACTAGAAGTTTAACCCTGTATGTTATCTTTGATCTTCTGGAAAGGTCCTCTGTATAATGCTGAAATATAATTAATAGTAAGGAATTTGGAATTTAATAAGTCTTGCCAGCATTTAAGGACTGCTAAACTAATCACCTGAGAAGGGAAGGGTACATAAATTAAGGATTTAAGACAATGCCTCTGACTGCTGTGAAAACAAATTAAAATGGACACACAGCCAAACCCTGACTTTATTTTCCACAAGATTAACAAAAATGACAGGCTGCCCATTCTTCTCGTATTTTACAATGACTACAACAAAAAGAAAACCCACTTGGGAAGAAAAAAAACACATTTAAGACAGTATTAAAAACTTATACAGAGGGAAGCAGAGACTCTTTAGACATTTACACAATCCATCCTGCAAAGCAGTTTTAATGCATTCTTAAAAGCAGATGAAACTCCTAAATTATATCAAGGCTAAAAAACTGCCATCTTCCCTTTGCTATCTCTGCGTCTGTATTTTATGACCTCCTTGCAAATTCCAGGTGATATTTAAAAAAATACTTCAAAAAGTTAAGATTCCACTCAATAATCCACAGTGAAAGGACAGTTCTAGATATTCAGAGTAAGGCTTGCGACTTCTGAACTGAAGTGTTGGTGAAACCATTTGGTTGTTATTTTCTGGGTTGTGTCTATCAAAACTGTACCTTCAGAACAAGACAAAGTCAAGCTATTTAACTAACAAGCTTTTGTAACGTAATCCCAAACTACTATAGAATGTATTGGTACTGGCAAAAGTACAAAAGTAATACTGTCCACAGTGCACAGGGTGCTTCCCAGGCAAATAAAAGCAGTAAGTCTCTGCTCCAAGGAATTATGAACACAATCAGATAGACCTGTGATCACTGTCAATGGAGATGTGAGAAAGTAAATAAATGGTAACAGAGACTAACAGAGAAAGCAGTTTGAGATATTTTTCGTTAGTGGCTACAGGGTATTCTAAGGGTTCCAAACTAGTAATATCAAAATTTAAGGTTGAGAGGAATAAGGATCTTCGACCTCACAGTACATCTTTTACTCTCATAATCATCATCTTTGCAACACTTCTACCAAAGACCTAAAGACTAAAAACATAAACAAGAAATCTACAAGAACCTCAGTCTCACACAGGCTATGAGATCCTATGGAAAGTTCTCAATCCTTAAAGAGATAGTCTGGAGTGCTCCTGGTATCTGCTTTTTCATGGAATAAGTGTGGAGCATGAGGAGACAAAGATAACTGATGCAAAAAGTTCCTGCCACAAACACTTGCATTGCCCATGTGCTCATGATGTGCAAGTCAAAACAACAGTCAAAAAGACATCTTGTCACAAAAAGAGTAACTCACATCCAAAATGAAACATCTCTTTGTAGCACTCTTGCCTCAAAGGGAAGCACTTGCTTGAATTACATCTTTTAAACCCATAAATGAATTTATGGTCTTTGCTTCTAAGTTCTTGTAAAGTCAAACTTCTGCATCCTTTAACCCTAATTGTCCACATGACCAAAGTTCTCAGCACCCAATTGTACATCTCCAAATCAGTTTTCATTCTCCTACCTTCCTACAATTCGAATCTCAACTTTCAGGCCTCTTAATTTTTTACCGTCTTAACTCCACAATTCCCACTCCCATATCTAGTTCAGTCCTGCATTCACAGGATTAATAGCGTGGTTATTTTGGTCAAGAATGCATTATTAGTATGTTCCTCCTGCTATCATTTGCAGATTATCTTCCACCCCCAGGTGCTACGTAGAGTAAGGAAAACATTTGTTTCAGACATAATCAATGTGAGTAAAACTTGATTTTTAGGAATCTCTCAAAGACTGAGAGTTGGGGAGGCTGATGTTTTCAACAATAAGATCTGAAAAGTGACTTAACAGTTAGAAGCAAAAGTACTCCTCTCCATTTGGAAAGTGGAAAACACCAAAACAACATGACTTGAAATAAAAATTACTATGTTGGCAGCACAACAGTAGAAACACAAACTGCCCCAGGCCTGCAGCTCTCACCTATCTGCAGTGATTCTCCTTCCATCAAAGGCACTGTGCAGCCTGAAGTCACACAGCTGAAACTATACAGCTTTGACAGCTGCTATTTGTTCAGGCTTCTGGAATGGAAATACAGCCACCAAAGTTGTTACAGTTTAAACGTACATTTGCCTGAAACGCAGTAAGTTTATACAAGAACAGAACAACTTGAAAACTTCGATGAGGCACAACAAAAGCAACTTTAATTATCTGTCAGTGCTTCAAGCCCTATGTTATCACTACTCACATCACCACCACCCACACAAAAGCATCCATACAGGTTCATACTAAAGGTTCACCTCAATTCAATACCTCCTTTCAATAGTAACCCATGAAGTGTTCTTGCATTCTTTCCACAGCTGAAGATCAAACACAGATTGATACTTTCAATTATATGTACTGCCTCAGCTCCCAGCAGTCCAATCTTTGAGACTCTGACAATTGGAGGATGCTTCTGCACAGTCTAACATGAATGTGCCTAAATGATCCCATTCAAATTTAGCATCTTAGGTTACTATGGCAGCAGCCTCTACAATTGAGTTTGCCCTCAGAGATGTGAAAGAATCCTACCAGATTTTTGAGGCATTATTGCCCTGAATACCTGTGCTGACCAAGGGTATTGTATCAATGTGTCTACACGTTATCAGACTTACTGGTCCACAATTTCTCAAAGACTCTTTGATTTTTTTAAAAGACCTATGGTGTGCTAACTTCCATTTCTGCAGTATTTTGCTAGACAGTGTGTAAAACAGCACTTAAATTAGTATTTCATCAACTTCATATTTCAGTTTTATGATCCTCAGAGAAGTTCCATTTCTCTTTCATGGTCTGTCATTACTCATTTACTCTTTCTTCCTCCAAAAACCTTGTTCTTAGAATGACTTATTCTACGTCAGATCTCTCCTTTTCAAGGAGGGAATGCTGCAGTTCAGCTACCTTTCTTCTCATGAATTTACCTTCCTTGTCCACAATTTGTTGTAGTTGTTTTACATTTTTATTCTCAAAATATTTCTTTTCATCAGTATTTCCATGGTTTCAAAAATAATTTAGAGGTTAATTTAGATAGGACCAGACTCTTTTCAGTGGTGCCCAGCACACAGGACAAGGGGCAACAGGCACAAACTACAAATTCAGAAAGTTCCATCTGAATAGGAAGGAAAAAATTCTTTACTTTGAAGGTGATGGAGCACTGGAACAGGCTGTGGAGTACTCTCCTCATTCAAAACCACCTAGCCGTGATCCTGTGCAACCTGTTTAGTAAGGGGGTGGGACTGGATGATCTCCAGAGGACCCTTCCAACCCCAAGTATTCTGTGATCCTGTGTTACTACCCTTTCTATCCTACGTCTTTCAACACAACTACAGCTTTCTGAAGGGGTTTTTCTTTTCATAAACTTGAGACTGTTTATTAAATGTTTAATAACAAAAGCAATTTTTAAAATTTAAATAAATATCTGCAGAAGATCAGTTCCTTCCTAACAATATTGTTTTCCTTATTATTATTCACCACCTCCTTTACATTGTTGTATTATGTTGCTAGTGAAAGCCAGCTACAGGGAAGCAAAATCAGTTCAGCAACTATGTTGAGATACTTTGGAAAAAGAGTAGCTTTATTTATTGTAATATTACCTTAAAGATCTTTACCTATATTTGTGTGCATGGTTGTTTTAAACATCTTGAAAAGTCAAAACACTCTCTACCACAAAAAAGTAAGCCCTATTCAAGCTCAGTTGAAACTCATCTCAAGAGAATAGCAACAGACTCATAACTCAGCTCCTGCTGATGAAAGATCAGACTTTTCAGCACAGAACAGGTAACTGTGAGAAAAGCTGAAGGGACACAAACAAATGATTCTCAGCTAGAAGTCTGAATGGGCAGGAGGAGCAGAAATCTGTCTTTACCTACAAGTATCAAGTAACAGTTGAACCTATGAGTGCAATTCCTGAAAGGCCAAAGGGAAAACCATTTCAAATATTATTTTAATAACCAATGTCCAGCAGGCCAGCAACATTAAAAAAAATAAAAGGAAATTATGAGACAGCCTACAAAAAAGAAAAATCAGTATTTTGATTTCTATGCTTTTAAGATTTTTCTTTTTATTGTTCTGAAAATAACAATATTCTGAAAAGAAAGCAGGATAAAGAATAGTTGTTATGATCACACATCACTTTGTTTTTGCCAGTTTTTGCTATTTATAACTGACATCACTTCTTACTGATTTTAATCTACATGTTAAATATATATTTCATGTTTATTAGGGACAGTTTAACAAAGATGACACAGATTTATAGGAAGTTTAAAAATACTTGTCACATCTACAAAACTGACCAAGTGTGTGTGTAGACACCAAAAAAAATATATACATACGCCCACAAGTCTCCAGGCTTCACTTATCACTGCATATTGTAGTCGATTCAGAACAAAGCCCTCAATTTCTCTGTTTAGTTTGACAGGAGATTGACCAATCTTCTTCATTAGGGCATACGTTCTTTCTGTAGTAGAAGGATCTGTTTCTGGATGAGGAACAATTTCAACCAATGGCACAAAGTAAGGTGGATTTACCTCAAGAAGAAACACAAAAGAAGAATGTCAACCATTAATGAAACAAGGTAATATAAAGCATCTTTAGAACTGCTACTAGCTTGGATATTTTCCAGTGAACACAGTAAGCCTGATATTCTGATCCTGAAAGACTTCACCAATCCAATAAAAGCTGATGCATTAATTCAAATTAAAAAAAAGTAATTAATCTTGCACTAACTTGAACTCTGTTTAATCCCAGCAAAGTTCATGGAGCTACACTAAAAATGACAGCACTCAAACAGTACTACAAGACCTTATATTGACTTGAGTAACTGATGCTTTCTCAATATTCAGGATGCTTGTTGTTTTAAGTTATATGGTCACCACCTGTCTTTCCAAATTAAGGCATTTCCTTTTAGATATTCAGGAACTTTATAATAAAAATATTGCTAAACACCACCTGTAAGATGCAACACTTAATAGATAAGCTGCTACTGGCCCAAGCCTGTAAATATATGCTAAACACAGTAACAGATGCCACATAAAACATACTTTGAAAATGTTGCTGAACAGGTTACCTTCAAACACTGTACTTAAAAAAAAAATAAAAATTACCTCTCCCTGACTCTTCCCAAATGTAATTTCTCATCAAATCAAGAGCTTTGTTTAATGTATTTTTGAAGTAAAAACCAAAAAATCGTTAAGAAGATTCTGGAAACAGCTAAAAGCTCTTCAGGTCACAGTGTTATAGAGACAAACACTGCCTTGCATGCTCTTTCCAAAGTAGCAGTCCTTCAGCCCTACTCCTAAGGTGTTAAACTCAGCTTTCCATCTAGTTTCCAGGCAATAGAAGAAGCTAGCATATCATAAATGACTACTAGGAATAACATTAACATTTAAAGGATGGTAATTAAGCACTGATTCTGTCATCATGCTCCCTTATTGTCAACTACTCTTTACTGTGCTCATGTAAATGCAAGTACAGGATTTAGTCCCAGCAACATGCAAACAGTCTTTCCTCTCTGCATGTTCTTTCAGGTGACCAGTGACAGGACCCAAGGGAATGGCCTGAAGTTGTGTTGGGGAGGTTTAGGTTGGATATTAGAAAAAGGTTCTTCACCCAGAGGGTGGTTGCGCACTGGAACAGGCTCCCCAGGGAAGTGGTCACAGCACCAAGTCTGACAGAGTTCAAGAAGCATTTCAACAGTGCTCTCAGGCACGTGGTGTGACTCTTGAGGATGGTCCTCTGCAGGGCTAAGAGCTGGACTTGAATGATCCTTGTGGATCCCTTCCAACTCAGAATATTCTGTGGTTCTGTGATTCTTCTCAGTGTTAATATGGTTCCCTTTACTGTAGGGTCTGACCAATGCATAATCTGATGTATGTTACATCTGCTCTAACTACTGATGTAACACACTTCATTCCCTTTAAAGTGCCTCGTGTCTCACATAGCCTCTCTCACATCAGTCTGGCAGTGCCACCACTGACGCCAAGAACAGCACGATGGATATCATCACAGGTGTGGTGTCAGGCAACTGAGCAAGACTCAAAACACTACAAGCACCAGGACATTCTCTGAAGGCTTTTCTAACCCACAAGTATATAACAAGTTCCAACCAGAAAGAGGACAAGTTAATTATTGAGGGAGACTGGAGCTATTAAAAATTTCTTCCAAGACTAGCGTTGACAATGATCTTATTGAAATATTCCATTTCATGAATTTGGCATGGGGAGTATATGGGTGTGTTCATGAGCACACTGAGGAGACTCAGGAAGACAATTTTTCAGGAGTGAGATAACAGATGTTGGTAAAAACTAAAAGTGGTAGAACATACATGAAATAAGGAATAGGGGAAGATTTCTAAAAATAAGAAGCATTTCAGGAAGCAGAAGGTTACCTTAGTCTATGAAAATGAAAGCTAAGAAAGGATATGACAAAGAAAATACCAAAAAGAATTAAGCTACACAAAAGCTACCAACATACATAAAAATTAATTTTAATGGACTGTTAATTAGATTGGAACAAAAATTAGAAGACATAAACAACTTCTAACAGGACTAGCAGAGTTAAAAGAAAAACTAACAGATAGAGTTTAATACATTTTCAGGATGATTTGATTAAAGGGTTTCCTGTACAACAGGGGACTTGACTCAATGGCATAGTCTCCTCTAGCTCCATATTTCTATCATGTGACCTAGCAGGCATATATAGTACGTGAGACAACAACTCTGCAACAGACCTCTACTGATACACTGCCTGAAACTCCTCTCAGAGAACAGCTGTACCTGTTTTGTATTGTATTGTAAGAATTGTGTGCATTTCTATCATACAGCTGTGCTATGGGATTTAATTTCTTTTTTTTAAAATTACTGAACCATGTTAAGCAAAAGGATGAGCTGCTTCTGTGCTTAGGGCACTTCATTTTATTTCATCTCAACATGCTCACCTGTGTCAGAGGCTCTACAACTTTAGCTTTTAAGTAATTTTCAAATTCTACACTTGTTTTCAGTGTCTTCCAGAGCTGCTTGCTTCCTGCAGCCACCAAGTCCTAGTATTGTGTTTGAGATCTTAGTAATGGCAAAACCACCCAAAACCAAACAAAAAAACCCCACCAAAAGCCATCAACTACTACAAAGCAAGCATATTTCCTGATTTAACAGACGCAGAAAGGCCTCTAGAAGAGTACACTGGCTTACAGGTTCTCCAGGACACTCAGTACAGCTGAGATTACTAAGAAAATAGTCTCAGTTGGACTGCAAAGCCATTTCAGAACAATTAAGATATTTTAAGGCACTCTAGAGCATTTGCTTTGAAAAAATACATATATCCTTACAACAGCAACCTAGGAAATGCTTATGCAGAGACTAGCTACCTTTCCAGATCTGATAAAACTTGGTTTCAGGAGCAGCTCCTATAAAGATTGCAGTTCAAACTAAACAAAGTCAACCGGTACAGACCAACTTGGGAAAACAGTAAGACAGAGTACAGTAAAATCAAAGACTGACGAACAGTCAGGCGGGCAGGAACTGGTTAAAAAAAAAATTGTATAGTTACTTAATACAGAAATATAGTAGAAACGCTATTTCTTCTCTTGCACTACAGAAAGTTATAGCCCTGGAAATATGACATAAGGAACTACTGAATTTCAAACTGGAGAAAGGCTAAATCTAGGCACAGATACATACTTTGAAGTTTCACTTTGTTTTTTAATTAAAAGGGATCAAAACCTATTTATATAGAAACAAACCAATCCTTTTGTTCCCTTTGCTATCCATCCAGTCACCCCAAGGTACAAGGATGGTGGTGGAGGGGTGTCAGAAAGGGACTGATCAAATGCTTTGACACTACAGCATTAGGCTACAGGTAGCTGTATAGACACTACAGTAAAGTAGTGCTGTATTTTTGCATTCTTGAGCATGCCCAGGGAACTGACATTTATTTTATACACTCAGGGATGCCCTGGAGAGACATCATGCAGTTACCAAATTGCAGAAACTAGAGTAGTACCTTTCTCCAGATACTGTACACCTTCATGACCACAGGCCTCTTAATTGATCGGTCAAACACCAGATTAACATTGGGCTTACAAATTCATTAGCTTATTGAGTAGCAGAAAACAAAAGCAGTAAGAATTCCAGTGATCAAGATAAAATGCTCTTCCCTGCTGAGAAGAGACGTGATAAGCTGCTGTCTGCAAGTTTTACATAGACCTCAACAGAGGTTCACAAGTACCCTTCGCAATTGCGAGGTTCTGCTGCAACCTCTAGTCATGCCATTTCTGCATCACTGCCCTGTCCCAGTTGGTTGTGAAGCATGCAAATTCAGCTCCAAGTCCAATTTGTTCCATTTCATCATTCCTTCATTCCTCTTTCAGGTATTCTGCTTCTGCACCAGAAATCTGAAGAAACCAGAGTCAAACATTTCCATCTTTCATCAACATCACCTGACAAGCACATGCAGCTCAGTGTTTGGATTCTTACTGTTACTCAAAAGCAGCTGAAAAACGATACTACAAAAGACTAACCACGGCACAAGAAGAAAGTAGGTAATGTTAGAGATTTGTATTCAAAACACAGAATTCCAACATTTTGAAAGCCAGTAGTTTGAGAAACACATAACACTATGAGCGCAACAGCTTACACAGGACATATTGAGCCAACAGTAGGAAACGTGCACATATTCTCTCAATTTAGTAGATGCTGCTGCTCACAGAATGAACAAACTACAACTTTTTTGAAAAGTTGGGTCCCTGCGCACTAACAATTGCACACAAACACTTCAAATACCCTTCTGTATCTTTCAGTCTGCAGGAAGGAGTTTGGGATGCAGTTTATACAAAAACAAAAAACATGCCATCGTACTTACAGGATGTGATACAATACACTGCTTAACATGTTTAAGGCCAGCGAACAATTTGCTGGGTAAGAGACAAGAGGTCGAGCTGCTCAAGATAACATTGTCGCCCACAATAAGATCCAACTGACCAAAAATCTTCTTTTTCAGTTCCAGGTTCTCTGGAGTGCATTCCTGGAATGAAAGTAAAAATGAGTATTAGAAATCATCTAGTTCAATAGTATGTATCCATATAATCCAGATGTTACTGATCCCACCTTGACACCTAGGAACTCAGCACAAACCATCTATTTTAATCAAACTAGGTATACCAGTAAGCCATAACACAAAAATACCTTCCCACTGATAAAGAAAGGGAAAGCCCAAGAGTTTCTCTACAGCTGAAGATGGACCACCACACACCACAGGAAATATAACACAAAACAAATGATTCTGCTTTATCTAAAGTGTAGACATTTACTCACATACAGAGATAACACAGTACAGAAGACCAGGCCCCTTTTTATTTTTAAAGAGAATCTCACATGATAGTAGTCAGTGTTCTCTCTCAGACAAGATAGAAATAAAGAGGTGTATCTCAAAAGAAGACAAACTTACAATCTACAGAACTATGGCAGGAGATGCCAAGGTACAGCTCTGCAACCTGCACTGAAACAATTCTCAGAGTTGACATGAATGGAGATACTTAAGTGTTTTAATGTGAGAAAGATTTCGGAAGTAGAATGCATGCTATCAAAACTTCTCCCAAAGCTATCAAGCATGTTCAGCTCTACAGTATTGTGTGAAATTTCACATGTATGAGTCAAGAGCCACAATCTACAGTAACTAGATTTCCAAAATTATTTCCAGGAGCTGCCTGAAGGAGAGAATGCAGAAGTCCACTAATCTGAGAGCAGCAAGGACATGGGAGAGTAATGACAGTGGATCCCACAATCAACAGAAAATACTTCTGTCTGCAAGAGGAAAACAGAAGAACAAAGACAGCTTGTTTTCTGGGGGGTTTGGAAGGGTTTAAAAAAATCCAAAATGGATCCCAAAGTTGCAAAACCTCAGCTTTCCCCTTAAAACACAGAAAATACCGTCTCTTTTCCAGCTCTAACCTTCTTCCACCTGTCACTACTTCATTCTATCTTTCCTGTTATGCTGAAATGCACATGGGGGGTAGGGAAAAAGGCCACACATTTGACATAATCCGAAATTTACATTTAATATCTTCAGCTTCACAGCCTCAGTGGCAGGAATGCCCAGAGGCCAGAGTTTTTAATTGAGTGAATGGGTTAAAAGTAATTTGAAGTCTTAAAAAATATGTTTCATGGAACAGTACTAAAGGTTCCATGATGCAGAAGAGATAAACAGGGTCATTTAAGAACTTCAGATAGAGCCCAAAGTATTAGATGGCCTTATCAAAACAAAATGATACTCTGCTCATAGTTCCAGAATCGCTGCTTGTTGGTTAGGTTTAAATAGTTTCTTTTAGCAAAGCCAAAGATGACGAGAACTCTGCAGATACTGTTCAAAGCTAATAAAAGAGCTGCTCTGAATAGGTTTGTGAACTTGAAACTCTAAGCCTGCTCTCACATCAGATGATAATCAAAAAGGCAAACTCAAATCTGCTGGAAACTCAAACCTGCCATGGTTACGTAAGGTTTCTGAATGGGCCATTTGCTTGAAGTTTCCTGTATAGTGTCACAATTGTTTTCAGGTTGTTGGACCACTGCAATAAAGTTTCTGTTCTCAAGCATGCAATTATTTTCTCAGAGACACCAATTCCCTAAAGAACAGGGGGAAATTTAAACTCGAAACAATCCATTAAATAGGAACCTCACTTGATGTCAGTTATGGAGCCTGGAGAGGTCTGAAGCTACTCTGTTTACCCTGAGAAAGAAAAGATCAAACAGAGAGCAGGTAAGATACGGTTTTAAAGCTGCCACAGTCTCTCTCAAACAATCAGTGCAAAAAGGTTACATGCACCTCTACACATTTTAAGTGACACTGTATATTTCTGTGCCCTTTTCTTAGGGAAGATCATACTTGTTTGCAGTGAACCTTTATTCCAAGGCCCAATCACTTAAACAAGGTTGCTACTAATCTGACTTCCAATTTAAACTTTATTAGACATCTCTTAACAGCCTAATCAAAACAGGACAGTTGCTAATTTTTAAAACCCACTTCCTGGAAGAGTTGTACTGAATTAAAGGCTTAAAGGTTAAAGGTAACAGGCATTACACTATTCAAATACATGTTTAGAGAACACATAGCAGCTACTTGACCAGCATATGAACTCTTAAAGAGCTACACAAAGATCAATACATATTAGACTCCCTCCCCTAGCTAACAATAATACCCTGACAAAGGTGATTGAGGTCTAGTTGCCCCTAATTAAAAAGTTGCACTCATATGACACAACCCCTGGAATGCCTGTACATGGAAAGCTAGGGAGTTTTCTCTCTTTAAATCCAGTGTCTCTGTGTTTCTGTATAAGCCTTTCTCACCATGGTATCCACCATCTGTGCTCCACATGCACCCACGCTCATCTAGGTGCACAACTTCATTTATCTATATTTAAATGCTGGCATCTACTCAGGTTCTTCCCATCCATTCTCAAATGTGCCAAGGTAGCAACTCACCTGTACTTTCTGGGAAAACACTCCCCAAAATACTATCTTGCAAAATACCTTTTCCTTACACTAGCAATAAGAATCGCTGCCAAGCGATTTATTAGTACTGGGAGGCAAAAGAAGCAAAGCATGGCAAAAGAAGCAAAGCACTGCAATACAGTGATATGGTCCTAAAATAAGTGGTATTGTCTACACAAACATGGCAATATAAGATGAAAGTCAAATATTTAAACTAGCATGCAGAAGGTCAAACATTAGCAACCATTCAGCAACAAGCAAGTCACTTTCTGTTAGATCATCTGGAGATGCTGTCACAGGGAGCACTTGTGGCCCTCCCAATAGCGAGTATGGAGTCTGATGGTAGTCACCTGCATAAGGAATTGCTGAATAAAGAAGTCTGAGCCACAGTTGCACAGTGATGAGTTCCTACCTCCTTACTAGATTCTGGCTGCTGCAAATTCAAAATATAATCAAGAAAGCACTTCTTCCCTGGCAATCTTAATATGAAGATTTACGATAATATAAATTCCCACAAGTGAAGATTGATCTATCTTGAGCTCTCCTAGACTCCTCTTGATTTCAGGACTGTATCCCATACCATGGGATTCTTCCAAGCAGATCTTGGCCTGAATAGGCCAAAGTTGTCTCCCCTGAAGTCAAGAGCTGTGATCTCAGTTTTTGTCTTGCTTCTTCTCTCAGGATCCTCAACTTCATCATCTCACGGTCACTATAGGCAAGACTTCTCCCTGACCTTCACATCTCCAACCAGCTCTTCATTGTTTATAAGTATGACATCCAGGACAACATATCCTCTCTTCTGTTCCTCAATCACCTGTGTTGGGAAGTCACATGAACACATTCCAGAATCCTCCCAAATTCTTTGTGCTCTCCTGTGCTGTCGCACCAAGAGATATTGATGTGGTTGATGCCCCACCATGAAAACATGGGTCTGTGAATGTGAGACTTCTTCTAGTTGTCTGAAGGAGGCCTTTTCTTCCCGATCAAGTGGTCCGTAGCAGACATCTACCACAATATCTTGGTGGTGGTCCTGTTAATCCTGACCCATAAGTGCTCAAGAGACTCCCTCAATCTAATCAGGGCAGAGCTCTGTCCATGCTAGCTCACAGCACAGAACAAACACCCTAGGCAGCTGCTCCCCTCCTATCTTTGCCTTGTACCACCTAAGCCCCAAAAGCTGCACTTCACTGCCATGCAAGAGCATTCTGTAGCCTTCCCCTAACCATAACTGAGGTAGAAAATTATTTTCAAGAGTTTTGCGACTTCCCTCTTCCCAATAAATTCAATAGGGTTTCAAGTAGTAGGTAAACTGCTTAAAAGCCATAACCAGTCTGATTGCAATAGGATGCTCTTCACCTTCTGCAGTTAAGTGAGGATCTCCAAATGTGCCAGAAGCCCTGGCTCTGTTTGTCTATTTATACACATATAAACTTACAGCATTTTAAGCAGCCTCAGCTTTTCAGTGCTGTGATTTAGCTGACAATTTCGAGGCACTTCTGTAGATCAGTTCCCAGGGTCAAGTGACAGCAATTCTCTCTTCTCATAGAATGAGGATGTAGCAGCAGTTTTCAAAGCACCAAATTATCTCACAAGCTCAACACAGACTGTCAGCACTCCTGCAACAGGAACCACATAATATCCAGCTTTTTGTAGGAATATAAAGATCTTCACAGGATTAAGAGACAAAGAGTTCTGCATCTCAGAAAAGCAGCTTTTCTGAAAGTTCTGGTGCCAAATACATTTCTACAAATACTTCCATTATCTTCTATAGTTATAATCCACTAGAAAAAGAACTTCAGAAAAGACAGGCATAATTGTTTTATTTTCAATTGAACAAGTCACTTCAGAATTTGTATTTCTAAAAAAAACCTCATTAACATAATAATGGGACCTGTTTATAGAGATAACCTGAATTTAAGATAGACATTAAAAATACCTCAAGAGGAGACCTGCAAATTTAAATAAATGAAATACAGATTTCAAATCACTATGACTATCTATAGATAGCAACAGTACAGTCAAATACAACTATTCCATAGAATTTTAACATATCTAAATAATAATAATAATAATATTCTTGTAAAAGCCTAGTTGGAAGAAGTACATATGCTACAACAAGCTCTCTGCAAACTAAACCCTGCAATTTTACAACCAGTTCTGTTTCCCCCAATATCACTGGCAAAGTTGAGGTTACAAGATTGCATTTATTTGCTCCCTCTTGCATACAGACTGCTGTGTTTCTGTCATTACCACCATTTTATTCAATTCGCATCAAAGTCAATATTTTAAGCTGAATAGTGTTTAAAGTGCTCACTACTATTTAAGTCCTAATTATTATTATTATTATTTCTATTTAGGCTTTTGTACTGACATGTCTGCTCCTTCAGAGTTTAGGTGTGTATTTTCATTCCATGCACCCTCTATTAAGGAAACTGGAGCTTTTTCTTTTGTTTTCCATGTCAGACACTGAAGTGAACTCTACTCAGCAAACAAGTCACACACACAAACCTGGGGAACTACACCACCTGCAATCAAAAA